CTTATATTATATTAACCCTCTACATTCCAGGGTCACCTTATAATCTGATCAGCTCTAGTCAGCCTGCCAAATGATGATGGAGCTTTATTGAATTGATTTCCTAATATCTAATTGTAATTACTGGTTTGACATATAAAGAAACTTGTGAATGTTGCAGATGGAACAATGTTGTATCATAAAGTGTTTAATATAATCTGGGATGGGCTTTTATTACGAGCCTAAAAAGATTTGTTAAAAATCACATATACCTAGCTACTAAAACTGAAACTCTAGTGTGATTTGTACTACATATATTCATAGAAATGTATGGAAGTAGTTCCATGCCTTGGCATACTTACACCGTGTTCCAAATTATTATGCAAATGATATTTAAATAATTGATGTAAATAACAGTCAGCATAATTCTCATGTTATCAACTACTAAGAGTACAATTCAAATTTTATTGAACAAACCTCCTAATGATAACAGGATTTTTGTTAAACATAAAACACTTCCAATGCACTGTTCCAAATTATTACGCACAGTAAGTTTCAAAACACTTTATAGGTTGTAAAGAACTGAAAATTGTCATTTGTTGTGTTTGCAGCGTGTTTACTGAAATCAAAAGCTATTTCAATCAAACTTTTAACAACATTTTAACTTTGTAAACATTTTAACAGGTCACGTTACATTGTAACATAGGACCCCTTATTTGATAGCAGCTTCACAAGTCTTGCATCCATTGAACTTGTGAGTTTTTGGACAGTTTCTGCTTGAATTTGTTTGCAAGATGTCAGAATAGTGTCCCAGAGCTGCTGTTTGGATGTAAACTGCCTCCCACCCTCATAGATCTTTTGCTTGAGGATGCTCCAAAGGTTCTCAATAGGATTGAGGTCAGGAAAGGATGGAGGCCACACCATGACTTTCTCTCCTTTTATCCCCATAGCAGCCATTGATGCAGAGGTATTCTTTGCAGCATGAGATGGCGCATTGTCATGCATGAAGATGATTTTATTACGGAAAGCATAGTTCTTCCTTCTGTACCAGGGAAGAAAGTGGTTAGTCATAAACTCCACATACTTTGCAGAGGTCATCTTTACACCTTCAGGGACCTTAAAGGGGCCGACCAGCTCTGTTCCCATGATTCCGGCCCAAAACATGACTCCACCACCGCCTTGCTGATGTCGCAGCCTTGTTGGAACAAGGTGGCCGTCCACCAACCATCCACTACTCTATCCATCTGGACCATCCAGGGTTGCACGGCACTCATCAGTGAACAGGACTGTTTGAAAATTAGTCTTCATGTATTTTTCTGCCCAATGCAGCCGTTTCTGCTTGTGAGCATTGGTTAGTGGTGGCCGAATAGAAGGTTTATGCACAGTTGCAAGACTCTGGAGGACTCTACACCTTGATGTCCGTGGGACTCCAGAGGCACCAGCAGCTTCAAATATCTGTTTGCTGCTATGTAATGGTATTTTAGCAGCTGCTCTCTTGATCCGATGCATGGATCTGGCAGAAATCTTCCTCAATGTGCCTTTATCTGCATGAACCCCGTCTGTGCTCTGAATCAGCCACAAATCTCTTAATAGTGCGATGATCACGCTTACGTTTTTGTGAAATATCTAATGTTTTCATACCTCGTCCAAGGCATTGAACTATTTCACTCTTTTCGGCAGCAGAGAGATCCTTTTTCTTCCCCATATTGCTTGAAAATGGCGCTCTGCTTAATAATGTGGAACACCCTCCTTTAGTAGTTTTTCCTTAAGTTGGGCTTACCGGCCAATCTAATTATCACAGGTGTCTGAGATTGTTTTCAGTGATCAAAAAAGCCCTGACACACAATGCCATCCATGAGTTAAACTGAAAAACAAAATATTTCATTGTTGTGGCACTTAAATAGAATTTGCATAATAATTTGGAATGCGGTGTAAAGCTTAAAGTGGACCAATCAGAAATGTTGCACACCATCATGATGTGAGTAAGCCTTGGTTCACATATATGCGGTGCAGTATATCACATGTGATTTGCACAGGAACCGCACTTCATTCCTGTGTAAATCACATGCGATTTGTGTGCGGTTCGATTGGAGCCATACATTTTGTATGGCTCTAATTGCACCGTACCAGCATCAAAAACGTGCAGAACCCTTTTTTGGGTCTGCACTAGAATCGGATCACATAGGTATTCACACCTATACAATCTGATTCTGCACATCGCACTGCGTTTTGCGGACCACTTTCAGGGTGTTGTTAAATTAACATACACACCCGCAGCGGTTCACATGAACGGGATGCGATTCTGATGCGGTACGGAATTCGCACTAAAAACACGGTGAATTCCGCGCCGCATCAGTGTGAACCAGAGCTAAATGTGTTTGTAACAATTAAAAACAAAAAATGGTTACATTAAAGTAGTATTAAACCCTCAGTGTTTTTTTATCCTAAAACATTGAGCACAATGAAGTAAACATTCCTCAGTAAACTATTTGTTAAACTTCTTAACCCAGCACTTTCACTTTACAACTTTCAATGCTGCTGGCTGAACCTCCAGTCTTCTCAGGAAAGAGTTACCAGTGGACAGTGCAGTCTACAGTCAGGCTGGGGTGAAGAGAGAGGGGCAGGAACGTGCCTTCCCATACTAGGCTATGGGGCTGTGTGCTTCTAATGATGCACAAAGAGTACAGAGACAACTCTAATTCCTGTATGCAAGGGCAGCTTCTTAGGACACTGCAAGAGAAAGGAGCCATTCTGGAACAGGAAAACTGGGGCAGCAGTAATGGCACCAGCCTAAACTATAATATAAGCAAGGATTAAAAGATAAAGATTATACATACTCAGTATGAGGGTTTACCCACCTCCCTCCCACCATATAAGCATTGACGGGCACAAGGCGGTTCTCTCGTTCTGGGAGGACGTCATATGACGTCCTCCCACTCTAACCACGCGTGATTGGTGGTGCACTGTGTCCCTGGGACACAGCGGATAACCGATCAACGGTGAGACGTTGGCTCTGGTGGAAATGGAATTGGAAATGCTGGTTATCGGCATTCCTCTCCTCACGAGCTGCCACGGTGACAGCTCGTCAGGAGAGGAGAGCCGGTAATCGGCATTACTCAGAGGGGACATGTACAAGGATCATCAGGGCACTGATGATCAGTGTGCCCTGATGATCAGTGTAGCCCCAGCAGTGCCACCTGTCAGTGTCCATCAATGCCGCCTGTCAGTGCACATCAATCCACCTGCCAGTGCCCATCAGTGCCACATATCTGTGCCTACCAGTGCACATCAATGCCACATAGCAGTGCCCATATGAGCTGTTTTTCAGTGCCACCTATCAGTGCCAGTCAGCGCCACCAAACAGTGCCAGTCAGTGCCACCTAACCGTACCAGTCAATGCTGCCTATCAGTGCTAGTCAGTGCCGCCTATCAGTGCTGCCTATCAGTGCCATATATGAGTGCTGCCTTTCAGTGCCCAGCAGTGATGCCTGTAAGTGCCCATCAGTGCCACCTACCAGTGCCTCCTCATCAGTACCCATCAGTGCCACCTATCAGTGCCCATAAGTGCAGCCTATCAGTGCCCATCACTGCAGCCTCATTAGCATGCATTAGTGAAGGAGAAAAATCACTTATTTACAAAATTTTATAACAGAAATTAAGAAAAAACTTTTTTTTTTCACAATTTTCAGTTGTTTTTGGTTTGTTTAGCAAAAAATAAAAAAAAAACCCAGAGGTGATTAAATACCATCAAAAGAAAGTTCTATCTGTCTCCAAAAAAGGATAACAATTTCATATGGGTACAGTGTTGCATGACCGCGCAATTGTCATTCAAAGTGCGACAGCACTGAAAGCTGAAAATTGGCCTGGGCAGGAAGGGGGTATAAGTGCCCAGTAGGCTAGTTGTTAAAGCCTGTGGTCAAACTGTAAAATCATACATTAATTTCCACATTGTATTTCTTCCCTACTTTTATTAATATATGAATGATTTTGATGTCTTGTAAATTTACTTTTGGGAGATCCTAACACATTTCCTTCCTTGAATTCTGACACATGCTCAATATATCCTGTGAATAGGCTCTGCTGTGTCACACATTTCACAGAACTTGCCTTCTGAACTACAGAGGAGTGGAGGAGTTTCAGGAGGGGGAGTCAGTACAGGAATCGCTGGTTTCAGGCAGCAAGGTACTATGGGATATGTAGTCTTTAGAAATTCAACCTAAACAGCAGAGGAGAACCTGCAAAGCATACAGGTAATCCAGGAAGTTGTGGAAATAGATGGCCAGCAGACAAGTCAGTTTATACTGGATTGTCAAAAATAACCACTTGACATCCTGAAGGTTTTACCCCCCTTCAGAGAATGGCACAAATATACTTACATTGGTCCAATGTAAAAACTGCCATGCCTAAACTTTAGTTTTAATTGTACATGTGATGCAGCAATGGCAACAGCCAAACATTGAACAATTAGCAAGTACAGGTGAGGTTAATCATCTAGAATTTTAGGTGAATCATTTGCTTTACCACCTGCTATGGCCATTGCATGGATGTCATCTGCTTCTACTATATATTAGTGAGGCTCGGTTCACACTGAATCCGACAATTTCAAAGCTGCATGTCAGTGGGACTTCAGGTGCGACTTCACTGATATGTGTGCGACTTCATGCACAGATGGCTATGCAAGTCGCACCTGAAATCGCAAAAAGTGCAGGAACCTTTTTTTCAAATTGGTACGGCACCGCAAAGTCGGAGTAACACCAATCTGAACGGTTCCATTGGGGACAATATGGTACGGTTGGCATGCGATTTGAAACTGTCAAATCATATGATAAGTCGCACCAGTGTGAACCAGGACTAAGAATGAGGAAAGAGGTGTAAAAACACCTGGAGTTACTGAGAAACAGGGGTAGGCTCACCAGCATTCAGTGACAACAATAACATCAATTTTGGGTGGACACACCAATGACTTCATACTTTTTTGTGTCTTGACTCACTGTAACATAATATATTTCTTCCATTTCTCCTAGAGGCTTTCAGATCCCCTGTGTTCAGGCACGGCACAGATAAGAATGGATTCAGCCTCGGCTTTAGTAAGAATCTGAGACAGGTATTTGGCGATGAGAAGAAATATTGGCTGCTGCCTCTATTTACAAGGTATAATAAGGTAGAATTAAGATTGAAGCATGTACATATGGCTGAAATATTTCAATGTATAGCCAAAGTAAATGTAGAATATGGAAGGGATAGAACCTCTAAGTGGCTTTCATTGGTGTGTGAGTCCATGCTTGAAGAATGCCATTGCTACTGACATGGAAAGTAAGGAGATTTTCAAAAATTGACAAACGGTTTAACATTGACAGAGGGGAAATATCTCAATGGGATTTCTCTTCCAGTAGCACCTGCCAGGTTAGAATTGAAGGTTCGAAAGTTAGAAATCTCCTCATTTTGGGTGAATTTCCTTATTTCCTGTAGTTTCTTTGGGACAGGAAGTGAGGACAAGACACAGACAAAAATAAGTCCAGTAGAGGTTCTAAACCTTCCCTCCTCACTATATTTGCAACTAGAAATGACATTTTGGCTGGAGTTCCTTTTTAACTGGGGAGAGGACAATAATATTGCTGTGCTATGGTCTAAATTACATTATTGTGGTACCACAAAGGGAAACTAAAAGCCTCATGGCCCATGAGGACAGGGCCTCTTCGTGTCACACAACCTAACAGTCCAGTTCAGAACATGAATATTGTACGTTGTTTTCCAAGAAACGTAGTAGGCTTTTTAGAACAGAAGAAAGGTGGTAAGAAAAATAAGATACTTCCTTTTTTCTGTAAAGAAGGTAATGTAGCACTTATGCCTTAGCCCAGCCTTTCTCAACCAGGGTGCCCAGCCCCCCCGGAGTGCCTTGACAAAATGTCTAAAAATTTCCCAAAACTTGTATACAAGCCAGTGGGTGGAAGAAGCCTGCTTTTAGTTACACAAAGCCACAGGTTTTCAATGTGCACCATTACAACCTTCTAGCCGCCGGCGTCATAACAACCAATTATATCATCAGTTGATAAGGAGGATGTCAGCTGCCTGCACAGCATCCTAATTTGACCCTCCCCTGCCCCTCTCCATCAGTGCTGGGGTCACATTATCTTAGTGATGGAGAAAAACTGAGGGAGAGGAGAAACACTGGAATACTACTCTGTAGCAGTATGCAAAAGTGTATTTGCTTTGGAAGAACAAATCACCTCTAATATTGGGTGCCCTACATGTGTGGATGTTGCTGTGTTATATAAAACTATTAGAATAGTTTTTAACATTTTAGAATGCGGTGCCCTTTTAAAATTATGAACAGTCTTGAGGCACCCAATTTTACAATGGGATGCCTCAAGACTGTCCATAATTTTAAAGGGTGCCTCGGGACTGTCCATAATTTTAAAGTGTGCCTCGGGACTGTCCATAATTTTAAAGTGTGCCTCGGGACTGTCCATAATTTTAAAGGGTGCCTTGGGACTGTCCATAATTTTAAAGGGGGCCTTGGGACTGTCCATAATTTAAAGGGTTTCTTGACTGAAAAAAGGTTGAGAAACGCTGCTTTAGCCTTATGGTCATCAGCCTCAGTACTCCTTTTCAGTATTGGTGGTATCAGGTCCAGTGGGAATAAAGGTACCTTCCTAGTAGAAGGCTGATGGTCTTTTAAAAAGGGATCTCATATAATCAGGCTGAATGTGTAAGCTTTAACAGTGTTTATTTTCGTCCTGAGGTAGTAAACATTTATATTCACATGTATCATCATCATTTCTATATACACTTACCAGCCACTTTATTAGGTCCACCTGTTCAATTGCTTGGTAACACAAATTGCCAATCAGCCAATCACATGGCAGTAACTCAATGCATTTAGGCATGTAGACATGGTGAAGACGACTTGCTAAAGTTCAAACCGAGCATCAGAATGGGGAAGAAAGGGGATTTAGGTGACTTTGAAGGTTGCATGGTTGTTGATGCCAGACAAGCTGGTCTGAGTATTTCAAAAACTGCTGATCTACTGGGATTTTCACACACAACCACTCTAGGGTTTGCAGAGAATGGTCTGAAAAAGAGAAAATATTTAGTGAGTTGCAGTTGTGTAGAAAATGCCTTGTTGATGTCAGAGGAGAATGGGCAGACTAGTTGCTGCGACATTCAGATGGTAGGGTCACAATTTGATGTAAACAACATGAAAGCATGGATCCATCCTGCCTTGTACCAACGGTTCAGGCTGGTGGTGTAATGTGTAATGGTGTGGAGGATATTTTCTTGGCACTAGTAAGGTGTACCCACAAAAGTGGCTGGTGAGTGCAGGTCAGATGTCAGTAAACATGTAATATGTTACTAGTATATTCTTTTGGTGCTAGCATTTTTCTGTTGATTTGCAGTCTCGGTGATGGCTGCTCTTTCCCCACATGCCTGGTGAACCAAGATCCTGAGCAAGCATCAACACCTACTGGAGTCAATGTAGCAACAAAAAGGTAGTTGTCTGTAGCTGTACCAAGACTTAATTTGTCTTACTAGGAGATGTAATCCCACCAGGATGTTCTGGATCTGCTCCAGGGCTACCTTCCTATTCAATGCCTTCCACAAGCCCAGAGGGAGTCCATCAAAAGAACATGCATAGAAAATACACAGGACATCTCAGAACTTTCCATTTAAGATCAATAATGTACTCTCTGGTAAACTGGATGTATTCAGCCATAGTGCACACTGTAAAGTTAAACTTCTCTTTCATACTTTTTGAAATTTGGCTAAATGTTAATAACTTCAAGCTTGCAGATGTGTGGTACCTGGTTCAATGTGGTCCAAAGACTCTGTGCATGAATTGTGTATGTATAGCTGTTATTGCTGGCATCCTGTGAGCTACCCTAGTATGAGTTTTCAGTATGGAAGAAAAGGCTGGCAATTTATTTGCTTACCTGTATCTTAAAAACAAACCCAATGGGTTGCACAGGCAAACTTAGAGGAAGCCAAATCATCTCAATACATATATGTTCTTCCAGCAGATTAGTGCTTTATAGTGGTGGTGGTGGTTTACCTTTTGTCTTTCAGCACAAGTACAGTACGTCCTCTACTTATGAACAGTTGAGTTGCAAACTTTCAAAGATACAAACAACCTCCAAGTTGCAAACTTTCACAGATGTGAACATGCATTCACATGCCAAATCATGAAATCAGCTCACGTGTCTGCCGGACATTGTCCTCTGTTACAAGCGGTTGTTCTGCTGTGTACCTTACTGTATAGTACAATAGTGTACAGTAGTACAGTGTTGATTGGCTGGAAGCAAGCATAAAAGCAGCGGTCTTGTCTGGTCACTCAATGCTAGCCCCTGCATGTCAGCTGTTGTACTGTACTACTGTACCTTTCAAGGTACTGTAGGATTAAACATTTTTTCTTTACCGAATTTCTTGTGTTTTTTATGCATTATTTGTGTGAAAAGTACTATAAAGTTACTTTGTTGGACTTACGAACAAACTCCCACAATGGAACTCGTTTGTAAGTAGGGGACTTACTGTATGTCTTTTCACACTGACAACTGAAAACATGTCTTTAGGTGTTTTATTCTTTGTCTAAGAAACTCTTTTTTTTACATTTGTTATCTTTCACAATTATCAGAGTTGTTTAGGTTTGGCTGGATCTTATGTATGTAAGATTGGTCAATCTTTTGTCTAAGTATTTTTCACTGCTTTCTTATGTTTTCAGGCATTACAATTTTCAGTGTTAAATGTTTTTTTTCCTGTTTTGTACCAGTATTGAAAATCATCCATTTCCAGCCAAACCTTTGCGTGAATCTCAGAGCCATCTTTTGACTGACACCCAGTCCTGGACCGACAGCAGCTGCAGCGATGAAAAGGGTAACTCGTGAAGATGTCACATTGATTGAATTTGGTGTTCTGTTAATAAACACTATTAGTATTGATTTATTTTGCTGCAAACATCTTTCAAAGCACTGTACAAAGTGAAAACACAATGCAGCAATAAAAATAACGGTATAGAATACACATAAACAAATGCTGAGAGGTCTGGCGGAAAGAGTTCTAAAACAGGGTTCCCCAAAGTGGTTAATATTAACCCCATCCCAAGAGATGATGGGAATATCAAGGGGCCAATGCAATGGCAGGGGGTCAAATAGGTGTCAATAAATGTCTGGGGGTCAGTAGGTGGTCAGTTGGGGTCAACTCATTTTTGAGGTTTCTGTGCAGCTCCCCACCAGTATCTAGTCCCGAAGGTAAGGTGGCTAGCAGCAAGACAGTGTTATCTAGAGTTGGATGCTCAGTTGTCAGTGGCCTTGAGTTGTCTCTGTTAGCTGTGTGTTGTTATTGGCCTCATTTACCAGCATGTTTTGTGTGTCTGTGACTTTTCAACCTCTCCTTTCTAAGAAGGCCATACATATTGTATGCGTTCATTTCCCATACTCAGTGTACTGCCCCATCTCAGACTCCTTTGGAAAGCCAGTGAGTACACTTACCTTGAACTCTGTACTTACCTTCAGTACTGCTTTGAAGTCATGCTGCTGTAAACAGACCAGCTGTGGTCTCTCCAGGATGCATTTCCTCCCACACCAGTCAATGCATAAATGAAGTCACAGAACCCACAGTTCTGGAAAGTTAAAATCAGCTTTATTGTTCCAGCACATCAGAGAACACTCAACACCAGCACCCCGTCACCCCCCTACTGCGACTTAGAACAAGAGGATACGGAGTAATAGCAGTGTTTATACACATTATCGCTCATCTCTCACTTGAATCATAAAGGGAAAGAGGCCTTTTTCATACACATTCCAACATCAGCTGGGATAGTTAACATATTAACCCCTAAATATACCCCCAAATGGAAACCAACAATTACTAAATATTAATCTAAAATTACATAATATACTGAATTCTGGTAATATTTGCACACAATGGGGTTCGTTTACTAAAACTGGAGCCTGCAAAATCTGGTGCAGCTGTGCATGGTAGCCAATCAGCTTCTTCAATTAAGCTTTGACAAAAAAAAACTGAAAGCTGATTGGTTTTCTATGCAGAGCTGCATCAGATTTTGCACTCTCCAGTTTTAGTAAATCATCCCCAATACATTTATACAAAAACATATTTACCATGCAAGTCAAATAAGGAGAGAGAAAGGAAATTGCGCTTATAAAAATGCTTTAAGGTGATAAGGAAGTGATATTTCCCAGCTTCTCTTACAGATAAATGTGTTTACACCGGGGGGTTGCCAAATTCTTTAGCTCGTCTACCCCTTTATGTAGTTTCAGATTATTCATTGACATTTTAATATATAATAATACTAATAATAATTATTATTCTTGACAATCCTATTAAAATATGCTTCTGGTATTAGAAGTTGCTATGTTGACTGTTACAGTGCAGTATTTTTAGTAAATGCATAATAATCAGTTTTTTGGCACCACTCCTATGGTTAAGGGTGACCTCAATGGCTCTCCAGCAGTTTTGAGTGGGTGTACTCAATGGCTCTCCAACAGAGTGCAAGGTGGTGTGTGAATTAACCGCGTCGCTGTTCTGGAAAGCCAAAATAAACTTTATTGTTCCAGCACATCAGGGAACACACACACTTTTTTCTGACATGTTTCCTCCCCACTGGGGTTTAATCGTAGAATATGAGGATCCCCTCCTCCTTGTTTTTTTACCTTTCTTTCCCTTTCTCTTATTCTTTCTTTTTCTGTTTTTCTCTTAGTTTCTTCTCCTTCCTCCCCCCACTCCCTCTATTTGTCGTTTCCTCTTTTTATTGATCTGTAGTCTAATTCTACAATTCTCATTACATGGAGCAAAAGTGCATTCTGTTATCTGTAGGAAGCAAGGTGCAACATAATGGTCACAGTATCATTCTGAGATGGAATAAAGAGCAGGACTTTCTTTAAGGCAGTGCTCTATATTTTGTATATTTACGTGCATATACTGTATACTCAAAGTTTAATGCAAAGCTATGATGACAGATTTGCTGAGAATGACAAATATTTTCTTCCTGATCGGTCTCGATCACTCATTGTGTTCATTTAGGATAGCAAGGGGCTGGTAAATGTGACATATTTACCGGACCCTTCCCCCTCTCTCCATCCTAAAGAATCCTATTGTGTGCTTGCAGCTGTTGTTGGAAAGCAGAGGGAAGCTGGCAGCACTGTGGGGATGGGGGCACACAGGTGGGCCTGGCTAACAGAGGGAAACATATGGTGCACAGGAAGGGTGATAGGTGCGGCTGTGGGTAATTACTGGAACCAATCCCCTGTATGGCTCTCTCTGCAGGAGCTGAAAGCCAGCGGGAGGGGGAGGAGTAGAAGCCAGCTTTCAGCTGCTGCAGAGAGAGCCTTCAGGGGATTGGTTCCAGTAACTGCCCCCATGCTGTGACGATCACCCTCCCTGCCCACATCCAATTCACCCAGCTGCCTGGCCCCCCTGCTAGCCTGGGGCCCGTACAGGAGGACTGGTGGGACCCCTTTATCCACGACCCTGCCTGTGATAGATCAGACAAACTGACTCCCCCCTTTAACACAAATCATTGGACCAAATGCCTAGGCTTTTAGACACACACTTACTGGCCACTTTATTAGGTACACCTTGCTAGTGCCAAGAAAAATTCCCCCACACCATTATACCACCACCACCAGCCTGAACCGTTGATACAAGGCAGGATGGATCCATGCTTTCATGTTGTTTATGCCAAATTGTCACCCTACAGTCTGAATGTTGTAGTTGAAATCGAGACCAGGCAACGTTTTTCCAGTCCTCTATTGTCCAATTTTGGTGTACCTGTGTGAATTGTAGCCTCTTTTTCCTGTTCTTAGTTGACAGGAGTGGCACCCGGTGTGGTCTTCTGCTGCTGTAGCCCATCTGCTTTAAGGTTCAACATGTTGTGCATTCAAAGTAAAGGGAGACAGGCAGTTACTCTAGACAGGGCTGTAGAAGGCTGGACAGGGCCATAGAAGGTCCTTAACCAATCAGCAGGACCAGTATCTGCTCCTCTGTGCAAGGAGGAACAGGGTGAACACTGCCAGAGCCCTACAAAATGACCTCCAGCAGGCCACTGGTGTGAATGTCTCTGACCAAATAATCATAAATAACTTCATGAGGGTTGCCTGAGGGCCCGATGTCCTCTATTGGGCCCTGTGCTCACTGCCCGGCACCATAGAGCTCAATTGGCATTTGCCATTGAACATCAGAATTGGCAGGTCCGCCACTGGCCCCTGTGCTTTTCACAGATGAGAGCAGGTTCACCATGAGCACATGTGACAGATGTGAAAGGGTCTGGAGAAGCCATGGAGAATGTTATGCTGCCTGCAACATCGTTCAACATGACCGTTTTGGTGATGGGTCAGTGATGGTCTGGGAGGCTATCCATGGGGAGGCACATCCATGGAAATGGACGCTGCCACAGACCTTGGACTACAGGCTAGACAAATGCCCGACCAGGCAGGTCCTGGAGGATGAAGGAATTGATACCATTGAATGGCCCCTACGCTCGACTGGCCTAAATCCAACAGAACACCTCTGAGATATCATGTTTCGGTCCATCTGACGCTGCCAGTTTGCACCTCATACTGTCCAGGAGCTCAGTGATGCCCTGGTCCAGATCTGGGAAGAAATACCCCAGGACACCATCCGTTGTCTCAGGAGCATGCCCCGACATTGTCAGGAATGCATACAAGCACGTGGGGGCCATACAAACTACTGAGGACCATTTTGAGTTGCTGCAATGAAATTTCAGCAAAATGGACTAGCCTGCTGCATAATTTTTTTCACTTTGATTTTCCGGGTGTCTTTAAATTCAGTCCTCTGTAGGTTGAAAATGTTCATGTCCATCAAACAATGGGGCATCCTTACGTTCCTAACACATTACCCAGTCCATATCAGTATAGATATAGACATGCAGCATGTGATTTTTCCCCATTGAGATCTGATGTGTTTTCAAATTGTTCCTTTAATTTTTTTTGAGTAGTGTATTTGAAAATTGATCAAGCCTGATGTACTGACTGTCAATCTCATTTCATGAGGCCCTAAAATGGCAGGACAGTACAAATACCCCCCAAATTATCCCTTTTTAGAACGTAGACAGTCCAAGGTATTTAGTAAGAGGCTTGGTGAGTAATACTGCACTACCCTGGGGAAGTGATTGGGATTTATTTTTGCACTATGATTGCTTATCAGCTGCATAACCAATCATTTCTGACAGTTCTTGGCTTAATTCATGCAGCCATTGAGAACAACTGTGAAAGCTGTGATTGGCTAAACATAGTCATATAGTACTTTTTGCCTGCCCTGTATATTTAGCATGTCTTCATTCTGCTCTGACAGATACTCAAATGTATATGCTGTAATATAATCATTTTAAAGTCACATCTATCCAAACCATGAGTTAATTTGCTCCGTAGCATGCAGATCATTACAGTCACAGGGTCTTAAAGGGTGCACTCCAATCTAAACAGAAAGGTAACCATTCAGGATGCATTCAGCCTACATGGTCATTACTTCAGGTTTTTATTCAGTCGTTGCTTGCAAACTTCAGTCCTCCCCATTCCCTTTTGTTGGTAATCTGGATACCCTGAAAGCCACCTGCTTGTGATGCTGGAACATACACAGCTCTTGTCCGTCTGATGTAAATAAAAGGTTAGTACTTCAAAGTTTGAGACAGCACCCACAATTGATGCAGTAAGCAGAAAGAGAGGAGGGTATATAGCACATATTTGAATTGGTATACTCCTACTGCCCTCTTACTGACAGTTTATGTATCAGTGTTCTTAACCCTCAGATTACTGTAAAGTGAACATTTTTAGTACAGCGCAGGGGGTCTGCATCCCCCTGGAGATCCAGCCTGGTACATGATTGCATCCGGAGCGCAG